TTATAACACCTTTGCGCTCTTGCAACACCTTTGGGGTTCAGCTATGCGTACCTTATATCTATCTTCATCTTTATGATTGCAGCAGGTATGATGACTCAGTCTCTCTCCCCGCCAACGGCAATTGTGTGTGGCCCAAGAATCTGGCTCGGAAAAGCGGTCATATTCATATACGCCCAGCAAAGTCCGAGTGTGAATATGCCTTCACACTCGCACACAATTCTCTGGCCAAATACATCCTCATCCCCGAATAGAACACGACTCTCTGGCCAAATACATCTTCAGCTTGGGAGTTCGAATCGGGACTCGTCGTCCCGCCCTTTCCTGGTCGTGCAGCACGGCGGTGACGTCAACGGTTACCTTTCGAATAGCACGCAAGTCTCCATCGGGACAGCTCTGTATATAGTAAAAAAGAGCACGTACGTAATTGATTGCCACGTGGACAAAAGACGATGGTCCTCACTCCTCGGCCTTCTCGTGCAGGAGATAAAAGGCCTCGCTCCATTAAACAACACCCTACATGTATCTGGAGCTCACAATCATCCTGATGCATGCAAAATATCGGGGACTACTCCGAATGCACCTGGTCCAGAAAAACGTCCAAATGCAAGTAGAATGTTGAGTAGTGGAGCGAGGCCCAATGTGCCCTTGCTTTCTGCCACGATTCATGGTGCTGAAAAGAAAAAATCATGGCGTTTGCTTTCCCCTCCTCTTCATCCCCTCCCCCCCGCTCCCCCGCGCTCCCCCGGCGGGCCCTCTATGACCCCTCCCCTCCCGTCGTACATATCTGTCATCAACTCCGCCTTGGCACCGCAGATGCCTCCCTCTCGCGCCCACAGTGATGTCGCCTCGATTTCCGCCTCGATCCGTCATCCTTTGCGTCTCTCTCTCTCTCTCTCTCTCTCTCTCTCTCTCTCTCTCTCTCTCTCTCTCTCTCTCTCTCTCTCTCTCTCTCTCCCCCCTCAGAAACCCCCTCTCTCTCTCCCCACCCCCCGTAAACCCCTAATCCTCTCTCTCCCCCTCCACGTATTTATAGGT